AAAAAAAAAAAAAAAAAAAAGAAACGATCAAACGACAAGAGGAGTGAGGGGGACGGATACGTGAGAAGGAGAAGAAGGAAGCGCCAAGCGTTCAGAGGCTGCAAATAATTGAACGATTATTATTCCACACAAATAACGACAACACCACGGTACACGGTATAGAGGGTTCAAATGTATCTCGATATATTCTTCTTTCCGTTTACTTCCGTTTCTTGAGTCCGTTCGAAAGTCCGAGTTCCGTCAAGCCGAGCGTTAAAACACGGGAAACGACGCGTATCGCGTTACGCTAACGAGCAAGAGATAAAAAACCGATTCGAAGTGTGCCCAGCGAGAAACGAGATAATAATGATTCGAGCATACCGTACGAATTTTTTCGCGAATTTTTCTAAAACGGACGACGATTGTAGTGAAATATGGTAGACAAGTCATTTGTCTTTAAATTTCTTTTTCTTTCTTTTTTTTTTTTTTTCTTTTTTTTCTTTATCTTTTTTTTTGCTGATCGTCACACGGTAGGAAACATCCTTACCGTCGAAATACTGGGGGAAGAGAATTCTGGTGTACGCGGTCATCGCACTACCCCAGCTTGGATTTTGGACATTATTGCAACTGCCGTCGATGTTTCGGTACTTGGCCAGAGAATTGCAACCCTTGTGTCGCGATGATGGACAGGCTGAGTTCAACGGAGTCCCCTCCAGCGACAAGGTTGATATGAAACGAGCGCAATCGTCTTTGTCCAAGCCGAATCTGTAACAAATATCGATCGGTCGATTTGTTATCGTTTTGCAATCACGAGTAGCAGGATTGTAAACAGTCGCCCACATATTTGACTATTACTGATGGTGACAACATGCACCATATGAATGTATATGGGATATTATTGTCATTAAGGCTGTCAATATTTTTGTGGTAAGAGAGGTAAAAAAGATTTTGTGCTTCTGTATATAAATTCAGAGGTGGATCTATCACGATAAGTTTTTGCAAGAGTAATTTGTATAATTAATTTGCTTGGTTAAGCGTGATATTGTATTCGAAGTGGCAATAATTTTCAATGAGCTATTTAGTAGCAAATAATAAGGTTGATAATATTGAATGCTCAATAATGAAACAAATGTTACGAATATATAACGTTGATTGTGACAGAAGTAATAAATTTAACACTCTTGAAGTGTTTTATTGAATGATGTTTGAATTATATGCTAGAATTAAATAGGAATAGAATATAAAAATTTAAATTTATATCTTTTTAAATACTTTTTAAATTGCATACATTACCTTTTACATATTTTTTTTTTAATTTGAAAATAATTTCTTTCTTATTTTTATTCAAGATATTTAAAACAACGTATAACTTCATAAAAAATTCATAAAAAATTTTATGAAATATAAAATAATATTTCATATATAGTTTCATAAAATTTTTAAATAAATAAAATCTTATTTTATGTAAAGTTAGTAATTTCACAAGGAATGTTCTTCATAATTTTAAAACACAAAATCATTCATCGTGTAAAGATGACATAGATGAGGATCATTTATATATAAATTTAAATGTAGAAATTAAAAATAAATAAGAAATGATAAATGATTGAACATAGAATGTTTTGTCGATATTCGATTAAAAATTTTGAAAGAATTATGGTTAGTGAATTTTAGAATATAGAAAATATTTTACATTTTAGAGAATAAAGCACTGTTAGGAGTTCAGAAGATGGTTTCAAAATATTTTACAAATCTTATTTATTTCTATCTCGTCCATATTTTATTTATATTTACAATAAATAAAATATAATTATATAATATTTTAATTATATAAATGACAATATTATAACCATCTTTTGATATCCCAGTAGGAAACAATTCTTTTAATGAACTGCTCATTGTGCAAAAAGGCATTTTTATTAGATTAATGTTATAAGCGGAACATTACAATAAAATAAATTCAATCGATATTTTGCAAACACAGCAAGAACTTTCATTGAAAGTTTCATTGAAAGTTTAAGCAGCAAAATAGATTTATAAGTTAATAGTTTTTTTAGTACGAAAATTGTAATGAAATATCTATAAATCTAAATTGCTTAATTGAAGAACAAGATTTCGAGTTTCTAATATTTGTTTTAATATTGCACCATTTCATAACCTTTTAGATAAATAATCAAAATAATGATAATATTTAATATTATCATATCATGATTCGTTCAAGAAAAATAGAAACAACAAGAAGTGTTTATTTATTTACTCGAAGATAGATAATTGATACGAAAAATTATTTCGGTGTATTGAATTTTTCCCATTGTAAATACTTCTATAAAATATTTTTTTTTTTATTATCATTATGTATTTCATATAGAAGGTCCATATATTGAATAGAATTAGATAAGAACGTATAGATGAATGTTAATAGAGTAAAATTCAATTTCAACATCAAGTAATTGTTGTCAAGTTTAAGTAATATGAAATTTGGATCTCCTTTTTTGAAAAAAAGAATCTTCCTTTTGCACAATTTCCTCCTTTTTCCAGATGATATATTAAATAGAATGTTTGTTTTTTTTTTTTTAAACGAAATCCACTTTAAAGAAAGATTCAGCGTTCAAAAGTAACGTGTATCGTTCCCCTACGAATTCGTAAATAAAATAATAATAATGTAAATAATATTATTATAATTAAAAAAAATATATACTTTGATATATTAATTTTTTAAACTCCCATCATCAATCTTCAAAATAATCGAGTTCAAAATAATCGACTTTTTCAAGAATAAGCAACCCATAAATCTTAATCCCTAAAAATATGGAAGATAGATTTCAGATTGGATTGGAAATTTTCCGATTACTTTTAAACGCTGAATTAATCCCTAAGGCGACATTCACCAATAAGGAAACATCCTGTATAGACATGTGTAACAGCCAATCAGAAATTGACCTTTGACCTAAGAGGTATATGTTACCTGTGACAGCTCTGATGAAGGAGATAGGACGAAGCTTTCATCGCCACTATGGCGTCGAGGCCTCTCTCGAAAGCATCCTCGGAAGGATATGAATCAAGGAATTGTTTTCCAGCCGGCGTGTGAGCCATCAATTCGACGCCAGCATTCGCGATATTCCTTTCGAGGGTGCTCATACGATCGACCAAGCTTTGCGCGAAACTGATCGAGTTGTTCAAGACCGCTTCGTCAATGTGAGGGTAACGCCGATTATGGGTACGACCCGTGTCTACGACGCCGCCCTCGTAAGGGTAGTTTGTCATCGGCAAACCTGAAAGGATACCTTTAAAAACGTCGGTAAAAAAGGAATTCAATCAATTCAACACGGGTCTAACGGATCGAGCCTTTTTTTAAGTTTCGTTTCTTTTTTCTATACGAAATTGTTGTTTAAAACAATTTGTGTGAGGCACA